TTTCACCCTTTTCTTGGTTTCACCTTTGGCGGGAGACGCCTTTCTTTTCTTTAATGAGGACTTCTTTGTTGCTTGAGTTTCTTCCTCCGACTCAGGTTCGGTTTCAATGTCTGTTTCTGGGGAACTTTCTCTTGTTCCTCGCTTCTTTTTGAATTTGTTGCTTTTTACTGCGGTATTAGTAAATACCAATCCTGGGGCAGGAGTTTCTTTCACATCCAGAGAGCTTTTATGATTCAGGACCTTCCAAAACCAGCTGTAAATTTTCTCCGGCTGTGTTCTCCAGCGTCTCTTGCGAGTTGAGGAGACCTTATTACTCAGGATTTTGTATAGGGCTCCTCTCCTCAGATTGCCTTTAATGATTGGCCATATTCTCTCGTGAACCTTGGTGGCCTTCTGCTTGATAGAGATTAGCTTGGTCAAAATTATGAGGACTTTCCCCATATACTCGGCAGCACTCAAGTACGAGCCATCTGGTGGCAGCAGTTCTTTGAGCTTGATGTATAGAAGTTGCACGATTTTCTCAATGTTCCCGTAGGCAAAGAACATCATGCAGACGAGATTCAAGTATCCCTCCTTTGTTCCAAGTGTGTCGAATCCTCCTGATTCATTGACAATATCGTCATCAAAGTGGAGAAGAAAGAGCGCGCTTCTTTGTGTGGGAGTAAACTCCGTCTGTGGAGCCATGTAAATAGGCTTAAAATTAGCCCAGATCCTGTCAAAATTGTAGTTTAGTTCTCCTTTAGCCAAGAATTTCCTGAAGGTTTTCATTCTTTTTTTGTAGTTTGTGATGTAGCTTTCTGCGTCATGACAGATTGAGATTCCTTTTCCGAATGTTTTCACTTCTTCCTCCACAGGAAGGATGTTGTTTTTGAAGGTTCCTTCGTCGTCAGACGAGGATGATGACAATGGTTCCAAGATTACCCTCAAAGACCTTCATGGGGTCATTGAGATTCCGGAGGAGTTGGCTCTTATTTCCATTAGTTTTGGTTCCATGGAGGGGATTGTAATCCCAAGGATCTCTCTTGGAGAGGAACGAATCTCAGTCCAAGTATTTGCCAGAGAGGTAGTGCATTGACTTGCAACCGTCGTGATTTCCTTTTTTAAGGCTGTTATTGACATCTTTTCTTGCTCTGTTTGGTCTTGTATTTCTATGTCCATCATAAGACAGTGGAGACTTGAAAAAAGTTCAGTAACTTCTTTAAAGAGATCTTTTCTTTTCCTGTTGTTTGGCTCCTTATAAGCCTTGTTGCCAGTTTTGATGGCATGTACAAGAGTCAGAATATTCTTTTGGATTTGTTTTTGTTGCAAGGCCCTTTCTTGGGCATCAACTTGATTTGAGACTTGATTCTCCGTTAAGTTGTTGCTCTCCGTTTGAGAGTTTTCTGAGATTTGGGAAGGCTTACTTGTGGCACTTGATGTGTCCATCAGGACGTCGTTTTCGTCTTCATTTGCAATGATTAGAGGGATTTCTTGCAAGCTGGGTTGATCCCCCGTCAGGTTTTGAAGAGATCTTCTTAGCCTTGTGTCAATTGGGACTTTGGTTAGGTCTTCTTGATTGACCGTGTCCCTTTGGGCCAGCCTTCCTTTCCGTCTTCCCGCTTGCCTCTCTTCAGGCATCATTGAATTTAGAATTGATTCACTTGTAACTCACTTTTCACTTCAATTTTAACTTTATCAGAGGCATGAGAATAGAAACCACGCTCTGCTACCAATTTTGTGGTGAAATTGAGGTATGAAAAGTAAGAGTTATGGGAAAGGAAATGAACGGGAACACACAATCAGCCGGGTTGCAGCCGGGGTTTTTACACCCAGATTTCAACTCTTTTATGTTCGTTCGAAAATACAGTTCTTTCTATACAAAATGTACAACTTTCGATTCTTCTTCAACTTTTGGAGTTTGAGTTTGGCGAAGTTTGTTCTTGAGTTCTGCGTCAAGAAGGGGTTGGATGAGTAGTAGTCTTTGTTGTAGAATTCTCAGTCCTTTTAAAGTTTCAAGCTTCTGGAAAATGGGGGGAACCAAGGGTTCCGTTTCTTGAGGGAAGTGTCCCGTTAGGGGGTTGGGCAAATGGTCATCTTCCACTGAATTTGGCGTGGCCCAATCAATGGGCCTCAGCTTCTTAATGAATAGCAGACCTTGGCGGCGACCAAGCGCGCCGTTGAGGTCAAATTCTTTGTTTAGCGATTTCTTTGAGTCAAGTGTTTTTTGACGGATTTAGCCGTCTGTTTCGGACTTTTTGAAAGAACGCTTTGAGCGTATTAAATTTGGCAGGGACTCGGGTCCTTTTGCAATGGTTTTGAGTTTTCTTCCTTCAAAGAGGAACGTGAGAAATCTGATCTACCAATCTTCTCAGGCCAGGGAGAAATTGTTGTCCTCCCAAAGGAAATGGTAATTTTCTCTAGAAGAGCAATAATTCTTTCGTGAAGTTCGACGTTTTGCAAACATATGCAGCTTAAATTACTTGGCGCAAAAAAGCACTGCCATAAAACTTGTTATCCTTCTGAAGGATACGTCAGTAAAAACGAGGAGTCAAGGACATTCTTGAACCTTTGTTTGCAGCTGTTGATCCCCTCTTTCTCTTTTCCCCAACAAAAATTAGTTATATGTATTCAGTATTCATTCAAGACACATTTCCTCTTGTATATGCCACTTGAAAAGAAATATTTGTGTCCATCATAAATAACTGCTGGGACTGAAAAGAAATGTTTAAATACTTGACTTTAAGAAAGTAGCATGCACTAATGCAAGTGAGGTGAACATAAAGGAAAAAAAAAAGGAAACAGCTGCAGGGGGAAATAAATTGCTTCTTGAAACGGAAGAACGCACATTGCATGAGGGGGAAAATCCTTGGAGCAAGTGTAAATGTTTCAAGGTTAACAAAATAAAATTTAGACTCACCAGTTCAGGAAAAATAAAATAAAATGAGCTGAACATGATTCAAATGCAATATGGAGTGTGTCTTTTGATTTTCAATCTGCATTTTGATTTGCTTTCCCCTTATAGAGCTTTCATACAAGCTTTATTTTTTCTTTTGAAAATGCATGGAAAATTTCACAGCTTATTATTAAAATGCGGATTGTTTTCTTGACTTTAATTAACCAATATTGTTGCAAAAAAAGGTTTGAGATGGGTAAATCCCAAAACTCTTGCAAAATTCAAGAGGTCTGTAAAATCCTGTGAGAACCCAAGGCTGCCAAAACTCTCATAGCCTTCTCCTCAAGGAAAAATTCCTCTCTGACCTCCAAGGTCAAATTTTTCCTGCTGTTTTTTCCTCAATAATTTGTCATCTATGGGTCATCTCTGACCAACCTTCTACAAAGTTTTCCTATTTTATGAAATCACTAACATTATTCATTCTGGTTGTGACTGCCATACAAGCAGCATCAGGTGTTGTGCGTTCTGCAAATTGCGAATTTATTGGACTTGTGATTTTTTGAAAACAAATTTAAACTATAGGGTGTTATTCACCCGGGCTGCAGCCCGGCTGAGAGTCAGGTTTCATTGTGAAAATCTATCTGACTCAATTGTATTCCTCACAAATGGGAAAACCAGACACTTACATTCGGAAAATATTTTGGCACAACGTGTTGCGTGATGAATTTCAGAATAATCAACAGCCTTTGGATCAAGCAAATTGTAAGCCTCTTTCGAAGGTGGCCACATCACTCTCTTTTGAAGGTGCTCCAACAATCGCTGGTCGTCTTGAGGATTCTCGCCAAAGGGGGTTTCAAACCCTGGTAATTTTGTAGAACTGCTGAATGATCCATCAGCAGGTGGATGACTCGAGTTATTACTGATACATTCTACAGGGAACGGACAACTCGATTTTCTCGGCGAATTCAAAGATGAAAACGTCATTACGGCAATTACGAGGAGCATTGTGGCAAAAACCGCGTTCTTCCGTCGGGATTGTCCCCACATTCCCACTGATGAAACCATTTTTCTGCAATCACAGCACTTATTGAAGATGTAAATTCGAAAGTTCAACAAAGGTTTTCGAAATCAGCATAAGTGCATGGTTTCTGTACTAATCATGGTCGTCCCCAACTTAAGACAGTGAAAAAAAGAGTTGATCAAACAACTGAATTGCTCCACATGATGAGATTTTTTTTTCATTTTCACAAGTTTGCAGTTGAATTTTTTTAAATCGATACAAAAATTATTTTTTAAAGAATTTAGTTTTACTTGATCCTTTCTACAGTATTTCATAGTACTATCCTGAATATTGAAAATTTTTTTCTTCCAAAAGTTAATTTAATTAGCAAAATCACTTCAATGACTATTATTATTTACAGGATTTGGTGTAGAATTAAAATCTGTAAGGTTTACATTAATTTGCTAAATAAAAAGCAGATTTTCAATATTTATTTCACGTTTCTGGAATTATATTAACATTAAAGTTAAGGATACATTTTGTTTCTCACAAGACATAAAACAACTTCTGCAAAAAATGTATTAAAAAAACAAACATTTTTTCAATATCTGACACAAAGATAACATACAGACACCAAAATGATTCTATCTAAATACCATTGTGCTATATGAAGAAATCTTTGTCATGGAACAGGTTGTTTAGGATCATTTAAATGAATATAACTGATGAACAACCTAAGTTAACCGCATTGTTCAAGAACTCAAAAAATTTTAAATATGGTTGTAAAAACTATGATGGATGGATTGTTACTATGCAATTGTTGTCTGATTTATAAAATTGATATAATTTAGCAAATGCCTCCACTTCTCCTACTTTTTGGAGACAAAGTTCAACACCTGATGACAATGTATAATAGCACAACACTCAGCACAAGACTGTGAAATGCAAGGGGGGAATGTGAGGTGAAGGGACTTCAAAACTAATGTGGCATGTTTGGATGCTCACTGAAACAGTTGGAAAATACAAGGGGAAAGCTTGAGGGGGGAGTCCATCATGGATGGCTTGACACAGAAAAAAGGGCATGGTGCAATGGAGGATAGTTATATAGGAGCTAAGCACAAGTTCACCTTCAGAAATGCTCATCCATGTTTTATTTTTTTTAAATACAGTCATGAAGGAAGAATCTTCCTTCCTCCAGATTAAAACTCTGAGTATTTGACATCAAAAGCATCTGCAGCCAAAGCAACCACTTTCTGCTCTTTGATGAGAGCCTTTGTGAGGCAGTGCATGCGATGATTTGGTGGCAGATTTAGACAATTGAGCAGAGTTCTAATGACAACATCACATGGATCAGTGGACTGGATCAAATCAATCAGGGCTTTTGTGTGGGCCTCAATCTCATTGCTTCTGGTCCACAAGCTTCTCAGGCCCCTTATGTCATCTCTGCACAAAGAAAATAGATAAAGAAATGGATAATACTGCAGACCCCCAAATATGCATAGACACCTCAAAAAGCAAATTTGACATATAGTAACATTTTTTTTTTAATAAAAATGCATATAAGAGGCCAGCTGACATGCAGACTCTGAATCAGCATGGAGACATTTCAGGATAAAATTGCCAATAAGTTTCAAGACAGGTGACTTTTATCAGGCTGAATTGCAAGAAAAAAAAATTGCCAATCCTAACATCTATGTATAAGAACAATTCTCTGTCATTTTTCTCCCATAATTTTTCCATCCATTCAGCTAACTGAAAAAGATTACCTTCAGCATGAAGAGAATTTCTTCTCTCTCTATGTGACTTGAATGTTCTTTTTTTCACAGATAAATGCCAACATTTCAAAGCACTTCACAGAGGTGATAGCATTCTAGGCTCCAAATGCTCTTATTGAGAGTGCTGGAAATGTAATTTGAATGTGAATATGTAATTTTAAACATTGATTTCTTTTCTGCAAAAGGAGGAAAATCATCCAGACCTGGTTTCCCGCTTCATTTTCTCCAATAGTTTTGTGTAACCGGAAATCAAAGTTTTGTTCTTTTCAGCGTTGAGAACTTGATGTTGATGCAGGTCGTCAACGTCGGCCTTGGACATGCCACAAACCGGTGGGTAATCGAGCGACACCTGGTTTCGAAGATTGTTTTGCAGCTTTTCAAGACGCTCGATTTTCAGAGTGAGTCGCTCTTTGTCCGTCCTCGCAATTTCCAAGCAGGTTTTCTGCTTGCACATTCTTTCCAGAATGCACTTCTTCATGTCGAAAATAGCCTATGATTTATAGAAAATAATAAGAATAAGTTTATGATGTCTAAAATATGACATAGCTGAAGTATAGTCTGGTGATTCTTATAAGATTATATTGATGAAGTAACACCAGCACTTTTATTGAATACAACTGGATTATGGGTACAGTGTATGTATGCATCAGGCAGACTCATCTCTGCACTATATATGACAGAAAAAGGAGTTTTAAAAGAAAAAAGTGCTGTATTAGGTACTGCAGAATAACTTGATACTGTAGATTGATGCAAGCTAGCCCAGCAAATAATTTGTTACAGGTATTGCTGCGCATAACAGTTATGCATTAAAAAATGCGTTTGTTATGCATCACTGTTATGCCCAGCTTCTTCTGAAATGCCTTTCTTTTTTTTTCTTTGTTGCTGTACTGAAAGTTTTTTCTGAAATGCATTCAGAATGCATTTTTAATGCATTCTGTAGTTACGCCTATACTTTAAACATTTTTGATGAGCTTTTCTTGAGTGTAGCAGGCAGGCGTTTCAAAACGCCTGCCTGCTACACTCAAGAATTTATATTTTTTTCAGATTTTCCTGGGTGTAACATGGAGCATTTTGAAACGCTCTGTGTTACAACCAGGGAAAATCTGAAATAAACAGTTTTTAGCATTGTAACAGAAAGGCATTTTAAAACGCCTGCCTGTTACAACCAAGGGAAATCTGTAGAAATCAGTTTTTTGGGATTGTAACAGATAGGCGTTTCAAAATGCCTGTCTGTTACAGTGCCAAAAACTGTTCATTACAGCTTTTCCTTCTTTGTAACATGGAGTATTTTGTAACACCAGCCTGTTACATTCTTTAAAAGTTATTCTTTATTTTTAACAGTATTTTTAACATCAAAATTTATATTTTGTGGTTTTGTATTATTGCAACAAACTGATGCAACAAACAGAAAAATCTGCAACATTGTGTTTGTCGCATCAGTTTGTTGCAGCAAGGATCTGGACCCCTGGATCCCAGCTGCGACAAACTGGTGCGACTATAATACACCACTATAATACCACCAGTATTATACTACTAATGCCGGTATTATACCGGCGGTAGTATAATACCCACGTACTGTGGAGTTCTCTCGCCAGTAAAATACTGGCGGTAGGGTACTCAACCCTACTGCCAGTATTATACTGGCGATAGAGAATACTGGCGATAGTTCTCTGTTGCCAGTATAATACTGGCGGTAGCTGGGTTGAGTACCCTACCACCAGTATTATATTGGCGACATACTATACTGATAGTTCTTTGTCGCCAGTATAATACTGGCAGTAGGGTACTCAACCCTACCGCCAGTATTATACTGGTGACAGAGAACTATGCCAGTATTCTCTATTGCCAGTATGATACTGGCGAGAGAACCCCACAGTACGCGGGTATTATACTACCGCCAGTATAATACCGGCGGTAGTATAATACTATCACCAGTATAATACTGGTGGTATTATAGTGGCGTATTATAGTTGCACCAGTTTGTTGCAGCGCAGATCCAGGGGTCCAGATCCGCGCTGCGACAAACTGGTGCAACAAACTGATGTGACAAACACAATGTTGCAGATTTTTCTGTTTGTCGCATCAGTTTGTTGCAATAATACAAAACCACAAAATATAAATTTTGATGTTAAAAATAAAGAATAACTTTTAAAGAATGTAACAGGCTGGTGTTACAAAATACTCCATGCTACAAAGAAGGAAAAGCTGTAATGAACAGTTTTTGGCACTGTAACAGACAGGTGTTTTAAAACGCCTGTCTGTTACAATCCCAAAAACTGTTTATTTCAGATATATAATACCATCTGGCACATAATACCTGGTATTAGATGCCCTGGTATTATTACTGAGTTATTATCACCTCAGTAATATTACCAAGGTATGATGGTGCAGTTGATATGACTTTGGGCTCAGGAATGTTTGTCTGAAGTTTGAATCCTGAGAGGAGCNAATGCAGATTGAAAATCAAAAGACACACTCCATATTGCATTTGAATCATGTTCAGCTCATTTTATTTTATTTTTCCTGAACTGGTGAGAATATTTTTTTGTGGTTTTCTTTGTAACAATTTCCTGTTGAAAAATGTCTATCATACGCATTTCTGCATTATAATCAATCCTATCCAGGCATAACTTGAGTTACGCCTGGATAAATACCTAGCGCTGTAACTAGAGGGCGTTTTAAAATGCCTACAAGGTATGCATAAACTAAAATCCTGAGTAGGTGTAACATAGAGAGGTTTGAAATGCGTAGCAGTTTTGGCTAGAAATGCGTATAAAACGCATTTTGAAATGCCCAAATTATTTGGTGGGAGGTTTAAAAAATTTACAATTTTTTGAGGATTCAATAAGAGCTAAAAACCTTTGATCAAATAATTGGTTCTGAGGTTCAATCAGAAGTTTTTTGCAAGATAAAAGTGCTTATTTTGTTACTGCAGTATACTGTAATACAGATTTCTGCATTTTTACAGTTGCTAATAGATGATGTGGTATTTTTTAAGTGAGACAATTGAGAAAACCATTTCTTGAGCTTATCTATGAAAAAAACTAATAAGCACGCCACAGTCAACCTAAAATAAATACCAGGAACTGAAATTGTGTGATTTTTGGGACTTTATATATTAATTGGAAGTTTTCCACAGCAATCAATTGTTGACTGATCTTCAAATAACATTTTCAATTAACATTTTATACAGAGGCAAACACTTTGAAGAATTATTTAATTAGTTTCACTATTGCTCAGTGAAGTTGGCAGCTTGCTGTCACAGAAGACTTGATGATTGATGCCCATTTCCCCAAATATAGGTTGGCCATTTTGGAGGGAAATGTTTGAATGAGATTTCAAGTTTGACTTGCATGATGCAAACTAGGTTTGATTCCCTATATATAGACTATGAAATCTATGATACATTTTTTCCATTGTTTAATCACATATTAAGACTTGTACATAAGTGGAATCTGATCAAAAATGTCAGCAGGTTTGTATATCACAAATTTTTCTGGCAAAATTTAGCCCCATTCTCCAGCTTTTTTTATCTTGCTGAAAATGTTGCTTGCAAAACATCAATGAATGACAGTGACATGTCTTAAACTTTTATTTGACAATTGAAAATTACTAGTATGTGTATACAGTTCAAAACTACGTACTGTTCTTTTAGAAGGTGTTTAACCTATAAAACTGGGTCGTGAGGTTAATAGAAGGAGTAGTCTTGAAGTTTGAAGTAATTTGCATTCAAATTTCATATTGTCCAGGTGGCAGCTTGCAATTCAACATCCTACAGTTTGACTATCCCAAAATTTGATGGTTGAATTTTCTGGGACATCAACTTGCAATTTGAGCTCTTTCCCCACATTTTGACCTGCAGAGAAACTCAAAATGTCAGATTTGATGTAGGAAACATCAAATTTGACATTGTCTTCAAATTTGACTGCTTTGAAATTTGACTGCTTTGAAATTTGACTGCTTTGAAATTTGACTGCTTTGAAATTTGACTGCTTTGAAATTTGACTGCTTTGAAATTTGACTGCTTTGAAATTTGACTGCTTTGAAATTTGACTGCTGTGAAATTTGACTGCTTTGAAATTTGACTGCTTTGAAACTTGACTGCTTTGAAATTTGACTGCTTTGAAATTTGACTGCTTTGAAATTTGACTGCTTTGAAATTTAACTGCTTTGAAATTTGACTGAAATTTGACTGCTTCGAAATTTAAATTTGCTGGCAATGGATTAGGGTCAAATTGTGGGGCACCATCTGCATAGGCCATGCTGCAAAACATTTGCAAATTTCAATGAAACTTGGCAAAACTAGAACAGAGACCTTATTTTCAGGAGATTCCACAAACGCTTCCATCTCTGCTTGCATCAGACACATTTTTTCATCCAGCTTGTCAACATGGTATTTTAGGTGACTGATGACCCTTCTGATTTTGTTCATGTCATTTTCCATCATTTTCTTCTTTCTGTCCAGGACTTTAGAGTCTTGGTGTTTAGCTATCTCCTTGACTTTCTCACTGTGTGCCTTGTGATTGGAATTGTAGTGGTTCATTAACCCCAACCAAGCCAGGGATTTTTCATACAGGCAAGGATTGAGGTGTTTCAGAATTTTCAGGCGTGCTGTTTCCCTGGATACTGCAAATTGGAGAAATTCCAACATTTTAGTTTGAACATATAGCAAGAACTCATAGCAATTTTCGAATTGAAAAACATCAACACAATTGAAAAATTATATTGAAAGGAGCAAATAAAGTTAGACCTGGAAGCCAAGATGCATTTGCAATCAATTATTGCTGTGCTGAGACTGTTTTCATATTTGTTTCAATGTTTGGATGACATTGATTGGACAACATTTTTCACAGACCTCAATGAGATTTTTTTATAGCTTCTGATGATGCTTCTAAAATATTAGAAAAGTATTTCAAATCTCAAGAAGAATTATCATCTTAACATATACTGTACATAGAACACAGAAAAAGTCTGCAATAAATAAAACCACAGTACACCACTTCCTTACTTCTGGGTTTTCTTACTTCTAAGGCTCCATTGACCATGACATATTTTGCAGAATTGTTGAAGAATTTAAATTTTTCAGAATTGGTGTACTTTTTGCTGAGGTCAAATCCTAGAATTCAGTCCATAATACTTTTTGAAGGAGTCTGAAGGAGTATTTCTTGGAAAATTTAGTATTGAAGACCTTTGGCATATATTCAGCTGTTTGAACTAAATGAAATAATCATTCTGGGGGGACTGCTTATTGGATTCAATCTATACACTCTAAATTATTGAAAAATTGTTCTGCAGTTCAGTCAAAATTTTGATGATTTTAAAAATTATTATATATTCTGAAGAAAATCACAAACCCAAAACATACAAACATTGTAAATTTTTTTGTTAAATTCAGAAAATTTTCATTAATTTTTCCCAAAATAATTCAGATAATATTATTATCATTTCTTAGAAAGTTAGTGTCATTGAAGTCCTGTGACATATTCAATGTTTGAAGTGTTTCAACTAAGTAAAATAATTGTAATTTTGAGGTGACTGCTTGAATTCACTGTTCATACACCTTCTGAACCATCAAGCAATTGTTTTTCAGTTGTTCAGTCATATTGCAGTAATTATTTTAAAATTCTGAAAACTACTACAATCCCAAAACATAGTATACAAATTATTTTCAATATTCTGGAATTTTGGAAATGATAATTTCTCAAGCAAGCCTGAAGTTGTTTAGGAGGGGTTTTCGGTTCACCTGCTGTGGAGATTATTTGGCAAATCTGTTGCCAATATTTAAATCCATCCACTTATTGATTGTTGAGCAGGGTAGGGTCACAATTGATGAACTCACTTCCAGAACAGGTTTTAATGCCCTGCTCCAGCATTACTCCAAAACTGACCCCCGGAATGGGATTGTCATTTGGAAACTGGGATGTGTTGAGCAATTTGTAATTCATCTTCCTTCCAGCTCTCAAAATGGGTTCCATATACTTTTTCAGCTCGGACAAATCGGGTTTCGCTGCTGGTGGGTCCGGAATCGCAACCCTGCGACTCAGGGTCACACTTGACTCAATTCGCTCTGCGAATTTTCTCAGCGAATGGGGTTCATTGCTGGGTTCCCGCGCAGGTTTGCATCGTTCCGCCAGAACTTGGGACCAGGTTTTGCCCAGGGTTTCAATTTGGCAATCAGTGAGTGATGTGTCAAAGGGCTGATGCTGCTGACAGGCTTCAAACCCAGCTTTTTGTCTCACAATGTTGATGTTACATAATGACAATGTTAAGCTGGGCTCATTGTTTCCTTGGGAAAGCATTGTGAAAGCTCCTCTGAAAAAGTTTCACAGATTTCAATCAGTGTGCTAAAAGAAGAGCTGGAGAGAATTTTGGTATAGGAATTTCGATTGTTCCCAAGAAAGCATTCCTTGTTTACAGCAGTATACACAGTGTGGACAAATGAATGCCTACAATAACCAATTAGTTTTGTTGGTCCCTCCTGTCCAAAGTCCCTCCTGACCCAAAGATGTGGAAGTAATTGGGGCATCAATAAGAGAGTCCCTAAGTCAAAATGTCTCCAAGTTGAGTCACAGTTTCCCTTATAGACTTACATTGAATAATTAATAATTGGTGTTTGATTGACAAAATAATTCCATGAAAAAGTTTAGCACACAATTTCCATATGTCCACTGTCCACACATTTGGCTTTTTTATGCATTTTTATTGGAAAATTAGTGACCCTATGTTGAATTGTCCACATGTTGAGGGGTCTGCATGTAGGGGGCCTCACTGTATATAGTCACAATGGTGCTCTTATGTTGTTTTAATATTGTTTAGTGCTGCATAACAAAGCTTCTTGAAGATCAAAATTCTTGTAGAAACAGATTTTATTGAAATTTTCTCCAGTGGCTGTTGTTACCTAAGACTTGTTTTTTAACTTGATATTTAAGGTGAAACTTCTTCTACTACCATAAAACGAATAGGCAAAAATTTTATTAAATAAACACTTAATGAAAACTTGAACTAACGTACGACACCGAAACAATTATATTTTGCTCTCAATCCTTTTACAGCAATCCTCCAAAATTGTTAAATGAATACTTCTTCCTTATTGACTATTTGATGAATTCGCATTCTGAAAAATTCTTGACCCACCATTATAACATTGCAGCCATCCACCAATTGATGGATTGTGCCATTATTGGCAGGTTTTCTGCGGCATTTTTCCATAGCTTATTGTATATACAAACTGCTAGTTTTCTTTACATTTTCCTGACAATGTATATGCAGTGATTCAATTACAGATTAGGACATCAATTAATTGTGACTTGGCCTCAATGCATGCAATCTGTTAATAAATAAGATAAATCCAATAAATTTTTCAGTGAAGCGGCTGAAGTTAGAATCAACAGCAGTGTAGACCCTCCATTTTTTGAGTCTGGTTGCATGAATATAAGCCAGCCAACCAATGAGCAATTTATCACATGAGAAAGACTCAACAACTATAAAATGGATAATGACACATTAAGGAAGCATGAATTGCCCTAACTCATGATGATACCTATCCCATATTCCTTCATGAGCCAGAGAATTAACTAATAAGCTGAACATGCTGAAGCCTATAATGCTGGGAAGTACAGTATGCATACATTACATAATTCTCTCATCACTGGACTAGCTTATTTAAACCCAGTGCAGGATAGGGCAGGGGATAAATCATACTCCCATCCTTGATGAGTATACTCAGGTTAAATTCCTGACCAGGAGAGGCATGCCTATAATTGATCCACAGCTGAAGCCTATGAATTGGGAACTTCCTCAATATCCATTCACTAAACATCATTCATGAGATGCTATTTCTCCTCTAACAATTGTCATTACCCTTAACTCACTTTCCTTCCTATCAAAATGCTATCTTCTCCCACATAATAAATCCACATGCCAAGAAACTCAAACCATACAACCAAATAATCAGAACTACTCAGAAAGTAAGTCATGCAGGCCCAACACAATTAACTGCCTATATGATCAAAGTATCAAACCACACTTTGCAGCACACTAGTACCTCAGTAGTACCTGGAAATTTGAACATTTTTGGGGAAAATCCAGATGGAACTCTGATTGCTAAGACAATTTTCATCTCAATATTTTTAGGAAATATGAATTGCAGGCTTCAAAAATTATTCTAAGACAGTACTTATGATCCAAAAAAAATCTTTGGAAAATGGGGGTTGCTTTGAGCATAACCTCTTAGATTTTAGGGTTTAAAAATTATTCTGAGGCAGTTATGATCATAGCAACAAATCTTTGAAAATGGGGTTTGCTGAGCATAACCTCTCAGATTTTAGGCTTAAATTTTCTTTGAAATTGGAGTTTCATCTGGATTTCCCCACAAAAATTTTCAAAAATGATGTTTCAAGTCAATTTCTCATCAGAAAGTGTGCATTGCAGGGTCAAAAATAGCTTCCAAATGAGCCTAACCCCTTAGACTTTTTTCAACATTTATTGTTTCTAAGAGAGCTATGCTCAAAGCAGACTTATTTTCAACAAAATTCTGCTTTGAGCATAAACCCCCTACATGCAATGTTGAAAAATGTTTGCATTGATGATTTAAACCTGTGGATTGGTGTTTCAAACCTCAAGATTAAAATTTGAATTGCAGGGGTTATGCTCAAAGCAAAATCCATCTTCAAAGAACTTTTGCTGTAAGCATAACCCCATTGAAAAAAAGTTGAAACCTGCAATCTACCATCCTTAAAATTTAAATTAAAGCCTCATTTTATAACTGCTTGATTTGAGAAAAAAACCCTTAACAGCCTGAAGAGCCTTAAGAGCAATGTTTTAATGCAATCCAACTTGCAATTCACACTGGAAAAGAAAACTGAGTTTAACACCTATTTTCAAGAACAGTTTTCATCTAAAAAAATTTGGATCATAGGTTCAATTTATCACATGTAAGAGGGTATAATGCTCAAGGAGTGCTGACAAATTGCTTTAATAGAAATGAAAAATTCATTTTTGAAAATTTTGGAACCAATTAAATGATTGTGCGGAATTTTCTCACGGTCCCTCTATGAAACAAGGCGCCAAATTGGAGCCAAAACTGTAATCCAATCGGCGCATCACTGGGATGCGCCGACACAAACAAAAGTTAAACCGATTCCCGCAAAAGGGGTATCCTGAAATAAAACGCGAAACGAATTGGCAAAACAAAGACCCTCGAGGCCAAAAAAGGAGA